GAGACTGTTTTTGTATTTTAAACTACTAACTTTAAAAATCTATAATTTTTCAGTTATCAACATCCAACCATAAATATGCTGCTCCACCCGCTTTGAGCCAACTTTGCAAAAATCAGAAGCAAAACTATGCAAGTTGTGCAAGACCTAGCCCTTCTACTCATTTCCTACCAGTCATTCCCATGAGACTGAAACTCCTGTCATCCTACACATTCATCTTACTGGTTGTTTAGAATAAGAATCAGATGAACCATTTAAATGCTAAGATTATGAAGCAGAGGAAGCTTTTCCCTCTCTTTTTTCCTTACAAAAATCTCAAGGAGATGAATGCCAAGCCTTGTTGGTGCAAAGTTAAGTTTGCACAGTTAAAATGGAAAAAGTCACAATTAAAAAGTCCTTACAACCATACTTCCTCTTGCTACATTGACCAGATAATAACTAGATAAAAACATATTTAACAAGAACTTGAAGGCAGAAAACCTACACAGTATGTGCATTGTATTCATTCACACATATGGCTATGAAACTGTTAGACCAGAGATTTCCAAGCAGTAACCCAGAGAGAAAGTCATTTTTACTTCCTTTTTAAAGCTTTGCTAAACTATTAAAAGATAGTCTGTCTACCACACTGCAGCTTTTCCATTTTACCATTCTACTCTGAAGTAAAGAGGAGACACTGCATCTTCTAGATCTACTTATCCCTGATGATGCTTCATCAAAGAACATCATGTTGTTGACTTTACTTAGTTTTTCAATAACTTTCAGGGGAAGGATTCTGCAACATTCAACTTTTCAGCCAAGAAAAAGCCAATTCTGAACTATTTAAATTAGTTTTCATATAGTTTAGAAGTTAAACATTGCAGAATCCTTCACTAAAAACATCTAAAAGAAAGTCAACATCATGACCTTTGAGACATTCTTTGATGCACCTGAGCTTTGAAGCAGTGGCACGAAAGTGGGAAAGCTGTGAAGAGGCAGACAGGTTTCCTGTCAAAGAGTATAAAAGTGCTTTAATTTCTTTTTTTTATAAATCAAAGGTAATAAAAAGGCAGGAGGAGTATAATTCCTGTCTTTGTTTTTGTATTTTGATTTTGCTAGGAGCTAATTTCTCCAGCACTGACAGTTAGATTCTGAATATTAGAACTGACATAGCAATGAATTCAGGCAGTATAATCAGCAGTTGGGTCAGTAGGTTTATATCTCATAACCCAAAAAAATAAGTACAAGAAAAACTCTATGCTTCTCACTTAAAATGATCCCAGCCTATTTGGGTTTGGTTCTTTTTGCCACCACACATACCTCCTTCTACTATTTTTCCATCTCTTTAATTTCCACACTTTCTGTAGCTGAAACCTAAGTAAATTCTCAACCTCTTAGCCTAGTTTTACTTATCCTCACTCTCCCTGCACCTTTATTTGCCTCATTATCCTTTTTATAATAAATAGTTTATGTTAGTTCTTCCATTTAATTGAAGCAGCTCAGGGTGAACTGCACAGCTTTAATGCTTTCAGTGCTTGCTCGTGCAGTTGATTCATTTCTCAGAATATAAGTATAGTTCCCATGAATGTGAATGGGATAGTATGGAAAGTTTGAAAGGCTATACTCAGCATGCAGAATCTTGCCCTAGCTGGAGGCACTATATAGTCTTCAGTCTGACACCCAATTGGAGAGCATTCACATGGCTCCAGTACCCCATGCCTCCTACATAAAGCCTAAGGGCAGCTATTTAAGAGATGGTGTACTGTTCCCAAAATGATGCGAGTGGGATCCTCATGAAGGCTAATTTAAATATGTAATTGGACAGATCCTCAGTTAGTATCAATTTTCACAGTGCCACTGATTTCAACAATGCTGTGAAAATCTATAGATAAGATAGATGCTCCAGAAAATAAGGAAACGCAGGATTCTGAAGGACTTTAGAGTATTTTCAAAGACTGCAAGCCAACTGGAAGAAGGGTATAGAAGCTATATTGTGTGCCCATGAATATTCCAGGAGCTACTGGGGAAGTTAATAGAAAAATGTCAAGCCTGAAGGGTATCTACACAGGTTAGATACACATCTATCTAGATATTTTTCTAGATCATTAATTCTTTATGCCCATCCCTTATTAAGATATTAACAGTTATATCGGGGGTGGGCAAAATATGGCCTGTGGGCTGGATCTGGCCTGCTAAACCATTCTACCCAGCCTACAGGGCCCCTAAAAATTTATAAAATTAATTATTATTTGTCTGTGGCTGCCTGTCTAAGCTGACAAGGTACCAGAGGTGACAGGACCCAGGAGAAGCCAGTAGGACCCAGGAGCAGCAGCAGCACAGCCTGACTGGCTCTGCCCCACCCCCATACCACAACCGGAAGCCTCTGCCTAGCAGAGGCTTCTGGCCTGGTGACCTTGGGCTGTTCCCCACCTCCCTCCATCCAAGAGTGCAAGTCAGATAAGAACAGGGGAAAGGGAAGGATGCCAGTGATTGCCCCAGTCCATGGGGGCCTGGCTGGCTCCTGCCATGTTCTGTAGTCCTAGACATTTAGCCAGGAACCACACGCTACCAGAGCACCTGGAGGGTGCACGGAGGGGGGTGGGGAGGGGCGGGGGGAAGCAGTG